ATGTTACACTTAGGGAAAGAGGGAAAACTAGGTTCTATCTATGTTACTGGTTTGGAATTAGAGACATCAATTTGAATGTGTTATGTTTATATTCATATAAAGGCCTATAGACAAGTATTCATATCTATACATTTATATGTGCTTTCATATTCATATATTGGCTGTTTCTACTAAGGTGACCTAGAAGCCAAGACTTGTCAGTAGCAATGATCACCACCTGGTGACACATCTTGGATTCTCCACTAAAAGGCACAAGAGCTCCTTGAGCGAATGCTGATTCCAAGACTGGTGAAGGACAGTACAAGGTGGACCCGGAACATCTTATGGAATAGAAAGCCAACAAGTGCACAAGAATAAGATAATATCATATCATTAAAATAGGCCCTGGTAGAAGTATTTACACTGAAAATTGGTAAGCGCCGCAAATGAGGGATGTCCCCACCCCGAATCAATTATTAAACATTTTCCAGGACACCAATAACATCAACCAAGTGATCAAAGATATCACCATTATTGGAACAGAAGAACATCATATATCTTAGCTCCCTGCTACGTCTCTCTGTAAGTCCATCAAGAATGGCTCTCATCTAGTAAGCATGTTGTAAATGGTCTCATACATTTTATTATACCAATATTCTACTGTTACAAAGCTTTCTATATTTTACTTTAAAAGGGAAAAACACCTTTTAACCAAAAAGGGTTATATGTCTGATACTAGAATTTCAGTCACTCGTAAAAAGATGGGTATAAACATGGCAGACAGGATTGGTGCCTCAGATCACCGCCACCACCACGTCCTTGTCCTCAGGTTATACTTAAGGCTTTCATGATTTCTGACCCACACTCACTGGTGAACTTTAGGATCATCAGAAACTTTTAGTCCTTTAATGTAAGTAGTGAAATTTTTTAAAAATCTATTTAATAAATCATCTTTGTTCTATAACATGGATTTTTTTAAATAGCAAGATTTAAAATAAACAAGATGGAAAAGCTGTGGATTAGAAACATAAAGTTAATTCTTCAATTCCATTTTATTCAATCCATTTTTTTTAAATGGGATAGCAAATGACATTTTGAGAAAATATAATCAACCAGAATTATAATTGTAAAAAAGGAGTGCCTAAACCTCTGTGTATACTTAGTCATATTTGAGACTCCAGAGTACTGCTCCCTCCTTTTATTAATAACTCTCAATTGTTATCAAGTAAGCATGGACATGACCCGAACATGCATGTGCTGCCACAGGTTATGTAGATAACTTGGAGAAAAATGTGGATGTTCCAATTCTAGTACATTTGCTCCTTTTTAAAGTCAGCTCTATTGAGGTAAATGTAAATATAATAAGAATCACCAATTTTAAGTTTGCAATTAAATGTGTTTTGACAAATGTGCACAGTTACAGAACCATCATAACCATGATAGAGAACATTTCTGTCAACCCCTAAAATTCCCTTACGCCCGTCCCCTACCTCCAGGTCCTCGAAACACTGATCAGTCACACTATAGTCTAATTTGCTAGAATTTCATGTAAATGAAATCATAAAATATACCTTTTGTGCCAGGCTTCTTTAAGCATACTGTCTTTGAGATTCACCTGGGTGTTATATGTAACAGTTCCCTTTTATCACTATTTTATTACTGTCACTCCTAGTAGTCCACTGTAAGGCTGTATCACAGTTTATCTATTAAGCAGTTCATGGACATTCAGGTTATTTCTAGGTTTTAGTTATTATGAATAAATCTTTCAGCATTATTTTAATGACAACCAAGAAATTCTTCTCTACTCCCATTGCTTTTATTCCAGTTTGTGAAGTGTATCTAACTATAAGTTTGGTTACATGAGATCATCAGTATTTTGAGTGAGGACTGAATGAAAACCAGCAGGGGAAGACTGGCCTAGCTCTCTTTCATGAGGCTCTCACACCCAGCTGGCATTGACCTCTTCCTATTCGTTGAAAGTTTTATTCCCTAGTACCTTTTCTATGGTGTATTTCACCTTATATTTTGGCCATTTTGAATTTGCTATCTTCATTTGACCTGTGCCTAGCAGAATGTCTTTCACATAATAGAGTTACGTTAAATGAATTGTTTTAGAATCTTCTCTGATCACGTCCTTGAATACCCAGATAACTTTTAATAATTTTCTCAACCCACTATTGCATTACCTAAATCAAAATATATCAAACCCCACCTCTGCCTTTACAGCATTTACAGTAACCTTTGAGAGGATTTCTAATGCTTTATGGCCCTCTTCTTTTCCCCAACTATGTGAAAGGGTTTGATTAAACAAATTTGAGATTCCTTCTCATTTCTCATTTTAAAGTTGTATTTAAAAAAAAAAAGAAACTGTGGGGGAAAAGGGGCAACATAGAAGGAAAGGAGCATATAAATAAGGTAAGAAAGCAAGAATATGCCATTTTTTATGTAATTGAAAGTAAAATGGGTAGTTTCTTAAAAAGAGTAAAAGTTGGAGAAGTCAAGAAACAAAAGTTGATGTGTAACAACATTGTTGGTAGAGCATCCTTTTAAATTGCTTTATGAGGAGAACTACAATAAAACAGTGATTCTTTTCTCTAGGAGATCAGTAATCAGGTAATTCCTCATTCTGAAAATTACTGGTGAGATTGACAACTCCTTTGTGTAAGTGAACCATAAGCCCCAGTCTACAAACGGTAGTCCCAGTTATGACTGCCTTAGTATAATTTATTATTAATTACTAATTAATAATAATAATTTTTTTTTTTTACTTCCTGTTTTACTCTCCAGTGGGTATTGCTTTTGAACACTGCATTTTCTGGTCACCCAACATTGGGAGTCTCAGAATCCTAAGTCTCTGTCTTGGAGATGGTTGCTCAATGAAAGAATCCAAGGTGCCCTTTTTAAGTTGACTCCTTAGCTGGCAACACCATTAGAACCATCCTCTTCTGTACTCTTCTCTCTCTCTCTTTTAACATGTTTGGAAAGTTTTTGCCTCCTCATGTAAGACCTGAGCAGATTCTGCAGCTTCACTTAAAGATTGCAGCCTTCTTTTCCCTATGGCAAGTATGTAACAAGTAAGAACATCCATTCATTAATTGTTCACTGCCCACTTCCTATGTGCCACATACTGAACTGGGCTCAGAGTATGTATAGACAAATAGGACAAAAAGATTCAGCCAAGTAAACCAACAACCGAACTGTGACAAATGTTATCTTAGTAGGATGCATATGTACACAGGGCTTCCCAGGTGGCTCAATAGTCAAGAATTCACCTGCCAAGGCAGGAGACATGGGTTCTATCCCTGGGTCAGGAAGCTCCCCTAGAGGAGGAAATGCCTGGGAAATCCCAGGGACAGAGGAGCCTGGCAGGCTACAGTCCATGGGGTCGCAGAGAGTTGGATGTGACACTGAATGACTAACACTTTCACTTTCTTTCATACTGATGTCACCTTGGGGAAAGAATAGCTAATTTAGGAGAAGGGGGAGAAGAGGAGGGGAATATTGAGCAGGTCCTAAAGGAAAAGCATACATTGGGCAAGGATGACAGGAGTTGGTGGAGGGCAGAGAGGGGGTGAGGACCCCCCTCACCCAGCAAAACATAGAGACATGCAGTTTTCCATGGCCAAAAAGTATGTGGTATGACTGGAGAGGCAAAAAAGTGGCCTAGCCCGACTCCATTTGCTGCAATATGCCAGTTTGGAACTGAATATGAGGCAAGACCTTGGAGCCAGTCCAAGGGGTGTTGTTATTAAAAGTACCAGAAGGGACCTTATTTCACATTTAGCGTGGCCCCCTGATGATCCATTTGAGTGAGGTGTGGGTGTATTTTCATTGTGGAATTTTTTACTACAACATTACCACATGCATTGACCGATTTCAATACAGACTTTCCTTATGTTGCTTTATAATTAGAAGCCAGTGATCTGAAGTTCCACAGCGGTACATAGACTAGTAGTGATAGGTTTATGGGATTGTTTATTTTTAGTTTGGCAAAGACAAGACAGTAAATCTCTCAATTAGTAAACTAAAGCAGCATGGATGAGAAATGCCCACAAGGAGATTAGAAGTTAGAAATAACGCAGCCAGTTAATGGAAGGAAACTTTCATAGCACCTACCCATATTTAGAGTATAAAGAACCCACCTAATGTGTGTGTTTGCATGAGCATGTGTGTGTGTTGTGTGTGTGTGTGTGTGCGTGCATGCTTGCACACAGTATCAGTATCCACAGTGGTGTCAGAGATGAGGTCCTTGCATTCTTCAGGTTCTAACTGTTTAGGAAGTTTATCTCTGTAGGAGTCACTGTGATTGGATATAGACCTATCCACTGGTCAATATCCAATCACAGTGGGATGAGCTCTCGTCTTTGACTTCAGAAGCTTCTCATCCTGCAATTCCTTCAGTGTGACCCCAAAGGGATTTTATTATGAAGTTCTGGGAGACATTTTTTCATTTTCATATTTATATTCATATTACATGGCCTAATGTGTGAAAATATTTAATGAAAGCATACGTTTCTGCCTCTAGATAGAATCTCCTGCATTATATTTGCGACTCCGTATTAAGTTTGGGAAGAAAAGCAGAGGCGATCCCCAAAGCTTAGTTTCAAGAATTTAAGTTTTGGGGTGTATTGGGTCACACTGTATTGATCCTATAAGTTCAGGATCTTTAGGAAATATTGACCATTCAGGAGAAAAAAGATTAATTGGCAGCTAGCAACAATGAGAATGTTATAGAAAATGATGTTTGTGTTTTAAAGTTACAAAACACCAGTAATTCAGTTGTCATGATATTTTGATTTTTAAAGTTGATTACCTTAGTCCATTTGGATTTATGGAAGGTATTAAACATTGCTCGAAAGGTCCTTTGAATTTTCCCCTGAAAATTGAGTGTGTGGAAAGATTGTTGTCTGCTTATGCTGAACAGTTTACTCCATATATGCTCTCTGAGGTCTGTAGGGGAAATGATGGGGGTTAGTGCATCTGTAGATTAAATTTCTGTCTGTCTCCTCTCTGCCTTGTAGACTGGAAAAAGATAGCATTCAGCAGAGCTTTAGCAATGAAGCAAAGGCCCAAGCCCTTCAGGCCCAGCAAAGAGAGCAGGAGCTGACACAGAAGATACAGCAAATGGAAGCCCAGCATGACAAAACTGGTAGGTGGTAGGGAAAGATTAGAGCCTGGGCACTTGCTCACAAGCCAGGCCCACGCCTTACTGTGAAATGACATCAGGAACACCTGTAACCTTTGGCTGGCCGAAGGGAGCAGATGCTAACTACACCGGAGATTCCGAATTACATATTAGTTAGCGTTTAAAAGAGAAAATGGAAAGTATTGCCCACTGTCTGTTGATTTCAGAGTGCTGCTCTCACATCTGTTGCACCATCTGGATTATGAGTTTATTTACCTGTGTTCAAGAAACGTAAAGCTGAGAGAGACCACAACAAAGTAGAAAAACAAAGGGCTTGTTTTTGGCTGGGTTTTCAGGCACACATGTTATATAAAGAAAATAGCATCAGAAGCTCTGCGGGAAATGCTCTGAGCTTACAGTTAGAGTCTCCTGAATAGCACTGAACAGTTCCCACAGTACACACATTATAGCTACTCTAAAAGCCTAATGAGTTTGCTTCAGCATCCAAACTGGAGAAAAGCTTTAGCCATTAATCGGTTCTTAATTCACTGTCGCAGCTGGATGTAATTCAGTGGCTCCAAATTGATATGTTCCTTTATTTAATCTTTGCAGCTTCGAACATTTTTAGCATTTGTATGATTATCCCACCTCCCCCAACCCAGTCTAAAGTGATGTTTAATCCTTTGCATTCTTCAAGTTCTCACAACTGCTGTTAAAATTCACTAATACAAGGCATTGACCACAGCTGGCAGCTTGGCTAAAAATTGCCATCTTTCATCACATTGGCGCTATTCTGCAGGCTGAGTTGGCCAGTAACTCTTTACCTTTAATTTGAAAGTAAAATGCACTTTGAAAATAGGCAGTTTGATTTGTTCAGTCGGAGCATTCTGTAGTTCCTTTCACTTTTGAGTTGTGTGTTCACAGAAAGTGTTAGTCAAAACAAGACAGTGTCAGTCATTATAATTCCACACCACATACTCCAAGCTGATTGTACTATTAAAAGGAAAGTTTAATTGATCCTGTCTCTTCCAGAGAAATGTTGCTTAATTTTTAGTGTCTTGATTTATTTTGTTTTGTATGCTATATGCTTTTTTGCCAGTCACTATCGAAAACTGAAGAGAAAGAAAGGGCCTGTTAAACCTTTCACCTAATTTTCATGTGATTTAATGTATACTATATTTGATAACATGGTTTAAAAAAAAGTGCTGCTTATGAACAATTGCTAACATAAAATTCATTAAATTATGTATTTGCTAATAAAGAGGCAAATGTCATATTGATCTGCATAATTCACCCATCAATTTCAGTAGAGATTTTCTTCTCACAGCGTTTGGCCAGAAGAAATGAAAATTTACCAGGCTACTAGTTGTTTTTTCACTGGAAACAAAAGGAGGAAGTTATAGGATAAATTATTGTTTGCCCCCACTACTAGGAGGATCCTGGTGGTCAAGGAGTCTTCGGCAGTATCTCTGAATACTAGATAAGAGTATTAGCTGAGCCACCATAAGAATACTTCCTTGTGTTTTGCACAAAAATACATACTCTCTTCAGTTTCTTTGGTCAGATCTGCACTGAAGCTCATACCGTTGATGGAAATGTAAGGAAAATTATGTGTTTTTCTTTTATAAATGGAGAAGTATATGCAAGGTTGGGGTAGTGAAATATATGAGAAAATATGAAACATAAAGCATGAATTACAGTATAGAAAGAGTTCCTCAATTATTTTAGTTTTGAATTACCTGATTGTGATAAATTTGGCATTCTGTTTAGAGTAAAATTTTCAAAAGAAGAGTAAATTGAAAATTACAAAGATCAAAAAATCTATGACCCCACTTGAGGTATTTGACAGTTATTAGCATGTTAAAATTTACACAAAACTGGTATGATCAGAAATGTTTCTGGTGTGTAATTATTAGGAAAATAAATGTCTCACAGGATTCAGTGTCTTGCCAGATGAGCATTCCTTTGACCTAGGACCCTAAAAGTGATCTAGTGTCTTACAGGAAACATGTGGTAGTCAGTCTTATTGCTTTTACCACTATGCATTGCACTGCAGAGCTACAACCATAAACATCTGATGTTTATAGGAGGGTTTCTTGTTATTTCTAGAAAATGAACAGTATTCATTGCTGACCTCCCAGAATTCATTTTTGACAAAGTTGAAGGAAGAGTGCTGCATGTTAGCCAAGAAACTGGAACAAGTCTCTCAGAAAAGCAGGTGGGTAATATTATTTATGCAGTACTTTCAGAGCACTGTTTATGTGAATGCTGTAATTTTTTCCCTAAAAGACAGCATTTCCACTATTTTATAGTCTAATGTCAAAATTAGATAGGTATTGACATATTCCCTGTAAAAAACATTTTCTCTGTATGAAAATTTTCTTAATTGTCCATATAGACACCTCAGTGTTTTTTCATAATTAGGTATACATACTATTATTTGGCCTTTTTAATGTTCAGAATTGAAAACTACAAAGTGTTAGAACACAAGGGTCAAAATGGCAATTATTCTAATAAAACATACAGGTGAGTCAAGCAGTTCTAAAATTTTATCTTAATTCAACCAACATGTTTTAGTGTGTTATAGTTCTCCGTGAACACATAACAGCTATCTTTAAGTCAAATGATAATAAATAAAATGCATATGTATAAAAATTAACGTAGATGACACTTTGAAATAAACCAAAACCATCTTTTCTCCTAAAATTGTTTTAATAGAATAGCCATTGTTCATTTTATAAGTATATGCTCTTTTATAAATCCATTGACTGAGATCTTAGTGAATTTTTTCTGTACATTTTTCAATCATATTATCACAATAAATGAATTATTTCTATTCTAAATTCTAAGAAGCCTGAGTTCTCATCTTAACTCTGACAATAACTGTGTATTCTTGGACAAATTTATTTGGCCTGTTCAAACTGTGGTTTCCTCTTGCAAATGAATGATGTTGAACAGAATTGCTTTGACTTGAACTCAAAAGAAATCATTCACTTAACTAGCTAAAGTATCAGTTACAATATAACCTAATTGGAAAATAGTATATCTTCTCTTTTATTTTGTTTTGAAACTTGCTTATATTATCAAAGAGCAAGCAGTAGGGCTCAGCAAACCAACTACTGGCTTAGGTATATCACTCAGAATGAATTTCTAGGAGGATCAGAGTGTATTTGATCACTCTGAGCCCCAGCTTGGGTTCCTGCATCAATAATCTGGCCTAGCTTGTGGAATCCCCATCCCTGAATCTTTTGGAAAATCAGAGCACTTATGAATCCAATTCATTCTGTTCACAGGAAGGCAGAAACTCCTATAACCACCCAGAATGTGCTCTGAGCATGCACCTTCTTAGTGAAGACTAATTAGATATCTTATTTGGGAAAGGAAAAGGCTCAGAGTGCCAAAATACCCAGTATTTCCAGGAAATTTGACAAGGAAACCCAAATAATTTTGCCCTGGAGGAGACCCTCATATCAACAGGAAGTATTCCAACTAGAAATATTTGATTTACTTCACATAGATACAAACACATTATTAATAATTTAAGAAAAAATTGGGCCTTAAAAGATTGTGTTATCTTAAGATTGCTTTGGGATTGGTTACTAATTAATTATCTTGCTGTCTAATTCAGATATAATATATATAAGACAAAGAGAAGCTATATGCTTGCTTTATATTATTTAATTCTCACAACAGCTTGAGACATGAATTAGCTTCTTTCATGGATAAGGAAACCAATACTCAGAGCATTTAAATAGCTAATAAGTAGGTACCCTAGAATTCTAACTTAGATATTTCTGGTTCCAAAGCCTATGTATGACCTGTCATAAGAATAATATCTTACATCCACCACAAAAGAAAATCCAGACCAAAGTAATTATGATGGGAAAGTTTAGGAGGGAAAAATTAATCTTTAAATTTCCATGGAGCGTGCTTGCATATGTGAGGGTTAACTGTGAGCCGGGGTTAACCTGTGCCGTGTGCTCTAAGGCCTCCTTCTCCCTGTTCTAGGCCCATCAGTTTACCCGGCTCTAGTGAACTTGAACCTCAGCCTCTCTTCACTTCATCTCCTCTCACTCTGATTCTATCTCCTGACCACTACTTTGTAAACTGAATGTATTCCTTTATGTCTGATGCAGAGCTGGTGCTGTGCTTGCTTAGTCGCTCAGTCGTGTCTGACTCTTTGCGACCCCATGGACTGTAGCCCGCCAGGCTCCTCAGTCCATGGGGATTCTCCAGGCAGGAGTACTGGGTTGCCATGTCCTCCTCCAGGGGATCTTCCCAGCCCAGAGATCAAACCCAGGTCTCCTGCATTGCAGGTGGATTCTTTACCATCTGACCTGGTAGCCAATACATACTGAATGAATGAATGAATGAATGAAACAAACAAGCATGGTGCTACCCTCTGTATCATGATCTGACTCTGGTTCCACACTCTTTCTTTGTTGAAGACAGGCAGTGTGTAGTGAAAAAACACTTCGGAATTCAGAAAGAATAAGGTTTGAATCTTGCTTTGCCACTTAGCTTCATAACCTTGGGTTCCTAGGTTTACTTCTCCAAACCTCAGCTTCTCCATTTGTAAAAACCTTTTAAAAACTGATACTGGATTTTGGTGGAAATTAGAAATTTAGAGAGGGAGATATAAGTATACACAGAGCACCTAACACCATGCTTGACACATAAAAGTTACAGTAGGTGCGATTGCTGTCACTGATGGCATCATTTTAAGGCTCTTGACTGACAGTGAAGATATCTCTTCACCTAGCAATCATTGTCTCTGCCAGGGTCTGAGTGCCATAATTTGCTGACAGACATTAAGTCTGTACCACAATGGAAAACCTTTTTGAAGGCAATGTAGATTTTGTTGTGTTTCAGGTCCTGCTCTGGACTTTGTCTTGTAAGTCTGAAGAGTTAAAATACACATCTACTGTAACTTTATAAGTTGATTCCAAACTAAAACCTAGCAAATAATAAAAACTAAATAAGTTGTAACTTATTATTGTTACAGTGTTTTAGGGCCCCTAAATTTGACAAAATAAATGTTTTGTGTGTCTCACAAGAAATTAGTAGATAGGATCAGTTGTATTTGGGTGTTTCTTATTTGTTTACTCTAATTTCTCATCTCACTCTGGCTTCCTACATGAAAGACACTCCATTTTTAGATACTATCTTTGTTTTGAAAACATCTATAAAACTTGTATGGCTCTAAGTATTTCTTTTAAAATAAAACTATGAATTTATGAAGCCCTGTAGAAGCTCTCCAGGAGTGAGCCTCTATGTACCTTCTACTAAACTTTTGGGGTAAACAGCCCCTGCCCTGTGCTTTGAGATGAGGAAATCTTGAAGTCTTTTGACTTTTCTAAGCTGTTGTCATTTTGAAAGTGCCATCTCCAAAATCATTATTTAAACCATAGGGTAATTTTAATCCAGGTTTTCTTCAGAGTACCACAGTAAAATTTTTTCCTGAAAGTAAGTGTATTTATTTCATGTTGATGAACAATTTAAACATTTTTTTTTTGGTCTGAGAATTTTATGTTATTCAAGATCCCATACTAAATATATGGATTCATGCCATTTATTTAAGCTTTTTTTTTTTTTTAATCATAGATCTAGTCCTTTGACTAGAACCCCTGAACAATCACTGGGTTAGCTGACAATGCAGGGAAACCACTCCCAGACACTCTTACTCTTTACCCCGTCCACATGCTAAGCTGCTTTGTGAAAGTGTTTAGAAATGGTTCCTCCGCCTGTGTGTATGTTATATGTGTTTTTTCCCAAGTATACGTAAGTGCATTATGGCTGTGCTTATTGCTTCTGCTGTCTGCAAGCCCTCCACAGTGACGAGCCAGTACTTCCTACACAGTATGCTTTCCACACTGCTCGAGTGGTGTCTGTAACCCCAGGTTTTGTGAATGGCACATCTCATTTTAAAGCTAAAAGTGAACTGCCAATTTCATGCATTTTGTGTAGCTTGTTTTTGACCATCAGACAAGAGCAGTAATTCCTTTTTGCTTTTAATTGGCACCAGGCAGACATTCTGGCTGATTTTAGATGAAACTCACATAAACTTTAGCTCCCTTTGTCTTTATTCCCCAGGACTCTGAGAGCTTATTACAGTGATAGATAGGCTTGTTTTCGAAGTTGGTACATGGAGATATTTAAATATCTTTGGTGCAACTGTGATTTTTTTTTTTCTATTAAAGTAAAGGAAGTGTTCCCTCTCCCAAAGCGCTTAGATGAATCAGCACTAAAATGTTTGCAGCGCAGTTTGCAGTGAAATCTAAAACATGCCTTGGGAAGAGCTCAGAAAGGTTGGGCACCGGCTAGAAGGGACTCTCTGCCAGCTGCAGACTGGGGATCCGGCATGTGCTAGGTTTTCACCTCTCAACACTTTTGCCCCATTGAAAAGAATAGGACATAGAGCATAGAACTGGGGTCTATGTGGTTTTGCTTCTCTTTCTTTTCTATCATTGTCACTTTCTGGGTTGCTAGGCTTGTGGATTGATGTCTAACAGTACCCATTGTGTATTTGTGATTTGCGTTTTGTAATTAAGAGGAACAATGGGAGTCCATTGGGTCTCGTTATATATAATGGTTGGTTTAATTTGTTTCACTTCTATCTTGTTAATTGTAAATTGATCATTAAGATTTGAATTCTAATCTGTCACCAGGGTTGTGGGTTTTGAAGCTAGAGCAATGATCCTGGTTTTAATCACTGATGATGAGAAACAAATTTTACAATTTTGGTACATATTGCAGTTCATATATTTTAACACTGTATTTTATGGTGTTATAAATATTGTTAAATGACTTTTAGTGTAGTTTTACTGTGTGGACTATAATGTATAAATTATATTACTGTTTTGGCAACAGTAGGTATCCAACTGTGTGAGTTTAATTGAAGTAAAGAACACACACCCGGTTGAACTATTTTTTTTTTTTTTTTGCATGTTTAGATGATGTTAGTTTGGGATGCTCCAAAAATTATATTATACAGGAAGAAACTGATATTGGCCTCTGTTAATTACTACCAAAAGTTGAATGAATCTCTAAAAGAATAAAAAATTAAGGGGTCATGTTTTTCCTTAAAAAGCAATCACTGTAATACTAATTATAGTAGTAAAATATTATACTTCATGCAAATGTAATTACACAATATAACTGCTATATAAAAATGCAGAGAGAAGTTCATGCTTCCGTAAAGCCAGAAATTACCTAAATTTTCTATAAAAATGGATTAGAGTCAATTTTCTTTTTATATGACGCTAGGAGAGTCATGCCACAAATGTAATCTCAAGCTAACATAGAAGCTCATAAGTTTACTCTTTAAACTTTGCAAATGGCTAGTTCTTTCAATATATCATGGACTAAAGACAAATAAAAGATAATGAACATATACATGTACCAAATTTTTATTGAACATTGGAAGTTGGTAGGCAAATTACTACTATAAACAAACAAAAAAACATAACACGTAAAATATGCAAAGCAGAAAAATACTGTAGAAATAAAATACCTGATAGTAAAATGTACTTTACAATTAACATCTATATTTTTGAAATTATATACATAAGATAAATTCATTATCAGGCATTTATTTTTCTGTGACGTTACCATCCAGCTAACCATTGTTAACTTTGGATGTATTTCTTTTCTGTCCTTTTCTATGTGTAGGTATATGTGTAAGTTACCATACATTTATACTGTGACATATTAGTGTGTGTATGTGTGTGTATAGCTGCATCTTGCTTTTTATTTAATATTATCTAATGTACACTTCTACATCAGTAAATACTGTAGAAACATAATTTTAACCGAATCATTTGTGTGCATAGTAATTCATCAGAATTTTAAACTATTTTTACATGTAATGAATAATCTAATAATAATTTTATACCTAAATCTGAATTTTTTCATGATCTTTTTAGTTGAGATGTCTGAAAGGAGGATTGCTGGTCCAAAGACTATGCACCCTTTTAAGACTGTTAACATGTATGACTTTGCTTAAGTACTGCACTAAATTCTGCTCAGTATATCTCTGTGCATACCAGTATGTGACAAAAAGAAGTGAGAGATTCTTATAAAAAGAAATGAGAGGCAGTGTGGCACAGTGGGTGGGGCAACCCCTTTAGAGTTGGCCAGAACAGTGTTTGTGTCTGGGCTTGGCTAATAACCATTTGCGTGACCTTAGGCAAATCATTAAATCTCATATTTACGCCACAGAGAAAAGGGAATAAACAGTTACCTTTTAGGATTAATTGAGATCATAATGTGAAGGATGAATTCCACAACCTGGTATAGTATAGGCATACAATAAATGTTTGACTTTTATTAAAGACAAATTTATCTGCTTTTATTAGGCATTTCTTTGAATAATAGGGAGATTGAATATTTTCTAAATGTTTATAGATCATTTATGTTTATTCTTCTGTGAATATTTTTCATATCCCTTGTACTTTTTAAATTGGAATTTTGATGAAGAGTGGGAAATTGTGATTTATTATTTAATGCTTCTAATATTCATTCATCTCATTTTTTACATCCCCCCCTTTTTTAACTTTGAAAAACTTGTCCCCAGTTCTTTTTGTTTCTTATGAATGTTTTCAGAATCAAAGTGACTTTATTTTTTGTCTTAAATACATGTTCATTGTAAAAATTCAGAAAATAAAGAAAAGGAAAAAAAGAAATTTCTAATCTGGACACCAAGAGATAATATTTTTTATTTTACAAGAGAATTACTTTATGCTGGTTTTTAATATTTTCCTTTTTTACCAATATGTCATGTTTTAGGTCAATATCTAATACCAGTAGATAGCCATATTATCAGAATAGCATCTTGATAGTTCTTTTTTCATGTAATGTAACTAATCATCTGTTGATACATTTCTGGGTTAAGTTTTATTAGATTAGGTTGCAGAACAAGGTTGCTTCTAGAAACAGTGTTACAAGGAACATTCTCATGAAAACATGTTATTTTGTTGTGAATAAAAGCTTTTATATTTTTATACTGTAAAATCTATGCTTCCTCCCTGATTTACCTTTTAGTGACTGTTTTTTTTTTTTTTCTGGGAAAGTACCTGAGAATAGATAACATTCTTCTGCATTTTCTTCTAATCTGGTTTAAGGGTATTTTTGGTCCTTTAGGAATTTTAGTGCATAGTGCATATTGTGATAGAAAATGCTAACCTTGGAAGAATACTAAATTAACAGCTTTATATAACTGCTTCTAAATTCTTTTGTATTGTATGTGATTTTGAAAGGAAAGAGAGGTGATTATTTACTTATTTAGATGTTTCAAATATAAGTAAATTCTTATTAGAAAAAGTAAATGTAGATTGAGTTCCTCATTTGAGCATGAAAATAAGATAATCCTTGCCCTCATGCGTAATCTAGCAAGAAGGATGAGGCCCAGAGCACAGTTCATGGGAATAAATTATAAGCCAATGTATGCATAACAGCTAGAGGTTTCAAAAAATATGCTGACATGTTAACAACTGCACGTATTAATCAGAACAAGCTTCCTTTGCGATGAAACTTGAACCAAAGTAAAAACAAAATGAGGAATGAGTTGAACTAAAGTGAGAAATTGCTTTTTGCCATGTGAAGCAGTTTGGTCCTTGAGGGAAACTCCATTAGCAAATCCCAGTCTTTTCCAGGAAAAAAAAAATTGAAAAGGCTATTGCTCCTAATGGAGGAATTCTTTCTTTGGAGGGAAGTAATTTTACATCAAATGTCTTATGGGTTAGCCAAAAAGTTTATTTGGGTTTTTCCAAACAAGCCTTTTGGCCAACTCAATATTTAAACTTCAAGAAACAAACCAGTTGTTAGCTACTCGTGTTTTAGTATTCATGAGTTTTAAGCTTTCACTTCTAATCTATGAGGCAGTGTAGTATGAGGAAATGGTGGAGCGAGAAGTAATGTTTAATTAAAGCAAGGACAAGGATATAATTTTTCTTGGATAGATATCTTTCTTATCTTCAAATTTTGAGACTTGAAATAGCCATCCAAGACACAGAAGAGGTAGCATATTTCCTGACAGACATCAAACATCATCAATATAGATATCTGTAATCCCAAATGAAATTAGTGAAGACGGAAAGAAAATTGTGGGAATGGTACCTGACTTAGCAAATGGAGGAAGAGGAATCTTAAATGTCTGCAGACAAGGTTACTTGTATGTGAGGCAAGCTGATCTGCTCTCAGGATCCCAGAAAAACTTAGAAGGCAGGAGTGGAACATAGGACTGAAATCAAAGTTGACAGTTCTACCTCCGACCCCATGCAGCCAGGGGACCATCACTCCTCCACCCAGAAAACTATGGGCTTCCTCTCTGAAGAGATAAACCAGCAAGCACTGGTTTAAATAGCTGTACTGAAGTTAGAATAGAGGAATTAATAGGAAGTCTACATTCTGAAGGAGACTTGGGTTTGATATCTGAGTGGGGACAATCCCTTGGAGTAGGAAATAGCAACCCACTCCGGTATTCTTACCTGGAGAATCCCATGGACAGAGGAGCCTGAGGGCCCACAGCCAATGGGGTCTCAAAGCATCTGACAGGACTGAGTGACTGAGCACATACAATCATGCGTGCACTACATTCTGAAAGGTGAGAACACCACCCCTCTATTTCCAGTCAGCTCTGAGGCCACTGATGGTTACTGTTGTACACAACAAGCAGAAAACTGGAGAATCCTTCCTTTGAGAAACAGAATGGCCACAGGGGAAAGAATTACAGATACTGATACTATTGGGAATCTCCCATCAGAAAAGATGGCTCACCACTCAATCACTCCACACTAAAGCCCACCCATTTAGGGAAAATATGTATGTATATACATGTATGCTCAATCATGTTCAACTCTTTGCGACCCCATAGACTGTAGCCCATTGGGCACCTTTGTCCATGGAATTTTCCAGGGAAGAATACTGGAGTGGGTTGCCATTTCCTTCTCCAGGAGGTCTTCCCAACCCAGAGATTGAACTCATGTCTTTCGTGTCTCCTGCATTGGCAGGCAGATTCATTACCACTCGTGCCACTTGGGAAGCCCCATATAAATGTACACATGTATAATCATAGTATACTCCTTAGATAACAAAGACCAATATTTATGTAGTTGTTATACATAAAACTGATACTGATTTAACTACAACTGAAATAGTAATTATATTGACAATCTAGACATAGGTCAGGGAGCAGAGAACCACCATTTTTAAAAACTATATTATTTTAATCTTGTGCCATTAAATTAGTTATGTCAATTAAAAGAAACAACTCTTTTTCATAGAAATTAGGCCTGGGGTTGTTCCTGTAACAGCGTGATAGCTTGCCTGTGATAGATACTCAGTAAATATTTGGTAACTTAATAGTAGTCTATTTAAAAATGGGATTTGATTATCATTTTTGCCTCGTTTCTCGAAAAATCTATTAGAGCAAGTTGTTATTCCTTTATGTGCTACCACTTGAGTTCCTGCAATGCGTATATCCTTCTACTAGACATTTTGTAATTTATGCAATATTTTATTTTACATAAAATAATTTTATTGACACATGTTTAAGTGTAGAGTTCAAGAAAATGATGAGGTTATACAATAAAAACATGCTCTGGTAATAAAAACCTTTAACATCTGTTATTTCTGTTTACGTCTCTTTAGATCTGAAATAGCTCAGCTCAGTCAAGAAAAAATGTATACATATGACAAACTGGAAAAGTTACAGAGAAGAAATAATGAATTAGAGGAACAGTGTGTCCAGCATGGGAGACTACATGAGATAATGAAGCAAAGGTAATACTTTATCAACTGATATGCCACATAGTGAATGTGTTTGGTTCAAAACAGAATGGGAATTGCTCTGGAATAAATAGAATTCATGGTTACTGTGGTACTCAAGGAGCATGCTCAAAATCTAATACTTCTGTTTATTTATGCTTTCTCAATTTAGGTTGTTCTTATAACACACAGGAGAGCACGTTCCCTCTTTACTATTTTCTAAAGACACAGAAGTAGATTTAATACAGAACACTGTAGGAAAATTATCTACCTTTAAGGTGGAAGCTGGTAAAGTAATATGCAGAAATTTCAAAACTTCTCTTCTAGAAATTAGGTTTTGTGTATTTTTTGTAAGATAAAACATGTAATAGCCTAAGAAAATTAGATGTCTTAATCAGAGGTGGTTGTTATTGTTGTTTAGTCACTAAGTTGTATCCAACTCTTTTGCGACCCCATGGACTTAGCTCACCAACCTCCTCGGTACATGGGATTTCCCAGCTAAGAACACTGGAGCAGATTGCCTTTTACTTCTCCAGGGGATATTCCTGACCTCAGGATCAAACTCACATCTTCTGCATTGGCAGGCGGATTCCTTACTACTGAGCTACCAGGAAAGCAAACATATATTTATTTCAAATAAAATGTTTTTACTTAAAATTCCCCTCTTAATTGTATTATGTAAAATAATGAAATAATTTAAAATTTTCTAAGGGATTTCATAAAATTATATACTTCTGTGAAAGGGGTTTTTAGAATCAAAATAAATGGAGATACTGACGCAGACACAGAGGCAATGCAGGTGTCCTGAGTGTAGAGGAAGGTTGGGATGTCGAGCATTGATCAGGAATTAAATTTGGACAGGAGAGTTAATTCCCACACTGCTGTAGGTGTGGTTGAAAAGAGCATAGGAGCTGTTGAGTACAGGTTTATGGATATGGTGCTGGTAAAGTAAGCTGAGGCCAGAATTTGTTTGTTGTGTATTTATTAGGCAACTATTTTGTACCAAGTCACTGTACTTGGCCAGGGGATAGAAAAATAAAAAGGGTCTTCACCTCTTGCCCTTTCCCGCAGTTGCAAGCTCCCCCCCTCTCTGAGCTGGTCAAGGCTGTATGAGCCCAGGGCCGCAGGGCAGCTGTGACACCCCTGCATCTGGGGGAGGTGACTTGTGGCTGCCCTGTGCCTCCTGGAACCCCAGAAGCAAAAAGGAGGGGTGTCCTGGGGGACAGCCACCCTTGGCAGCCTGGGCAGGAGTTGGTTGCCTGGAGGGTTGTTTTCATTTGTTTGTTTTGCTCTCCTGTTTTCTTGGTTTTGCATAAACCAAAACTTTGTTGATATTAAATCTGGGGTATATAGTGATCAAACTTTCCCCATTCCCGAGGTAATTTCTTGACTTGATCTTTCCTCATTAAGAAGAGTAATCAAAATATAGACCAAAGTTCCCTGGGTAGTGATGGTCAGAAAAACTGACCGAAAATTATAGGCCATTTCTGCAGCTCTTATGGAGAGTGTCAAAATTTATTAAATGAATGTTTTAGAAGTACTGCAGGATGGGTTTTAGAGGTCAAAACAGCTTACTGAGAATGCCAATGCGTATTTCACGGGCCTCCATGCCTCGCAAAGCTTCTGTGATGCTGCACAAGCACCAGTAGTTTGACTTCCTCTGATCTGGGGGAAGGACATTTAGTTCATATTGCATTACCAGTGTTGCACTGATGTCATCTTGCTCTTCCAATGCTGATCTTCTTAATTTTACCTATGAAATAATCTCAATTTAGTTTCACAATAATTGATTTCACTTGTTGTGAGTTGTTTTGCTAACCTCTTATAATGCAATACTTCATATTTGCAACAGCAGTGTATTATTTTCTCAAGAAATATGCTTCAAGTCCTGTATGAATTGTAATCAGAAGTGAATCATCTGTCATCTCTTTCGCTAAAGCAAATGTATGTATAATTCCCACCTCCTATCTGTCCATCACCACCACCAGTTTTCTTTAGAGAAGTACTCCTTTGGTGATGAACTGCTTGGGAATCTGTGTGTTTAAATAACTGACAACATACTTTTAAAAGTAAATTAGCATAATTGATATGTTATTTTAGATTTATATGCCATTATTTTATAATATCAAATTGTAATCATTGATATGTAGTCCATATGTTGCTAGGAAAGAAGCTCATTTCAACTCTGTTTTATGAAATGTTTCTTTTTTATCATTAGCTTTCATTTTGTTAAGACCATGGATTAGGTAGCCTGCCTCCCCTAAGGGGTCTAAAGACAAACAATCTGAGAGTATTGTGTAGAGGGAAAAAGGAAGCTACACAAACCAGAAACAGCTTAGAAAGCGTGACCCTTCCCTGCCCCCCAGATTATACCAAATTTATGTCAATTGGGGTCAGCAAGCAATTTCTTTAAAATCCAATTATTCTATGCATTATTGGCAAATCCCTAAGAGGACTGGAAGGCATTTTCAATTACATTTTATTGGGAAGACCTGAGATCAGATGCTTTCCTCCCAGTAACAGAGGAAGTTCTAGCTATAGGAGTTAGATTTTGATCTGAGAGTGAATAAGTTATATAAAACAGGCTGTTCAGTTGCTATAGCTAGAACAAAGCAGACAGTATCGTAACTGATCACCTGGAAGAAAATTAAATGAGAAATATACCCAACAAAAGAGAAGGAGGGAAATGTCAGGCTTATAATTCATGCTTCTTGCTGCTGCTACTGCTAAGTCGCTTCAGTCATGTCCGACTCTGTGCAACCCCATAGACAGAAGCCCACACCAGGCTCCCCCGTCCCTGGGGTTCTCCAGGCAAGAACACTGGAGTGGGTTGCCGTTTCCTTCTCCAGTGCATGAAAGTGAAATTGAAGCCGCTCAGTCGTGTCTGACTCTCAGCGACCCCATGGACTGCAGCCTACCAGGCTCCTCCGTCCATGGGATTTTCCAGGCAAGAGTACTGGAGTGGGGTGCCATTGCCTTCTCCACCATGGATCACAGCCTTGTCTAAATCACTGAAACTATGAGCCATGCCATGTAGGGCCACCCAAGACGAAGGGGTCATGGTGGAGAATTCTGACAAAACGTGGTCCACTGGAGAAGGGAATGGCAAACCACTTCAGTATTCTTGCCTTGAGAACTTCATGCTGCTGCTGCTGCTAAGTCACTTCAGTTGTGTCCGACTCTGTTCGACCCCACAGACGGCAGCCCGCCAGGCTCCTCTGTCCCTGGGATTCTTGAGGCAAGAATACTGGAGTGGGTTGCCATTTCCTTCTCCATGCTTCTTGCTAGAATAGGCCCAATATCCAAGGAAAGGGAAAAGACTTTCCTTCACTTATTTCTGTGTGCATGCGTGTTCAGTCATGTCTGACTCTTTGCAACCTTTAGACTGTAACCTGCCAGGCTCCTCTGTCCATGGGATTTTTCAGGCGAAATAGAATGGGGCTCAGTCATGTCCAGCTTTTGTGACCCATGCACTGTAGCCCACCAGGCTTCTCTGTCCATGGAATTTTCCAAGCAGGAACACTGGAGTGGGTTGTCAAATATTTATCGAGTGCTTATTACATAGCACTGATGTGCTTGGATAAATCTGCTTGTCCCACAGACATCTTGCCCTTATGGAGCTTCCATTCTTTTAACTACATTCTGGTTCTAGTCCTGTGGTTTTTAAGATCCAAAACTGAAAGTAGAGAGAGAGTATTATTGACCTAAAACAATAAAACAGCCAGTTATTTTACTAACAAAATAGGTTAATTTGAGAACAGCAAGGATATACAATTCAGGACATGTAATCTGTAGCACACCACAGGCAAGTCCAAATAACAAATTAGAAGAATGTTCTTTTCTAGAAAAGGAGTTGGTGGAGCTGTTATTAAACAAAGAGTTCATTGGAGGAAACTGGGAATTTGAAGTAGTGGCTTTTCATTGGCTGAGTTGTGGCAGTCTCTAAAGGGCCAGGTTGTTGCCTGGCAAGGAGTCTTTTTTTTTTTCTTTCTTTCTCTTGTTGGCTTAAAGTAGTAACCTTCTACCTGTTGGAGATACAAAGTATGTCTTTTCCTCTTGGGTTTGGGCCTGACTTGGAGTGGTAGGGCTTGAGAGTTCCCCCTACTGGCTTCCCAACTCCATTTTAAATAAGATTTCTATTTACTAATTTTCACAGTATGTACAGTGGTTAAGAGCATGCACCCTAGAAGAAGGCTTTCTTCCTAGATGTGAGGTCAAAAGCAAATTCCTTAAATCATAAATTTAATCTTTCTTATTTCCTCACTTTATCACTTTCATTATCTGAAAAATGCTACCTTAGAAGGCTGTGATAATGGCCTAAAACAACCCCTGAAAACTCTTTAGAATAGTATCTGTGTCCACAACAAATGTTTCCCAGTATTAATCATTCAGCATCCTTCATTTAGCATACTTACCAACTCCTTAACATACACACCAGGTTCTGTTCTAGATTTTGGACATCCAGCAGAAACTTGAGAGGCAAACATTCTAGAAGGTAGTTTATTTACATTATGGGTTAAATAGGCTATTGTGAAACCAGTCTGTAAAACGAAATACCATGTTTACATGATGTTATTTCTAAGGATAAATGCCTTCTGAGTTTTCAACAGCTGATTTATAGAACAGCATTTCAGACCATACTTGTGATATTCCTATGATATTCCAAGTGTTTGTGAGCATATGAATGTATGTGTGTGTGTGTTTGAAGAAAAAGAATGTGTCTCCATGCTTAAGATCCCTAAAAATTTCTTCCATATATCCAATGTAAGCCTCTCTGAGTCAGTTCCTTCTTTAAAGCCAAATTTATCACTTTGGTTTTATCTTTTAGGTAGCTTGAGAACTTTTGATTAGCATTTTTGTTATCCTAACTCTTATGATTTAAATTGTAATTTATGCTTTCAAGTTAAATACCATTCATTTTTCATTTCTGTGGTCACATTTGTTGTATTGCTTTTTAAACTTTCAGTAATGTTGAGCTTTGCGTGTTCAATGTGAAAACTTAAACTAGATTGCTT